TCCCATCCCAAATCAACCTTCGAAACTCAATAATAAACGAACTACTCTGTCAAAAATTAGTAATTTGTTCGAATTTCCTTTGTTGCCAAGTCTAAAAATTCAATTCAATAACAGTGTTTCAACATTCAAGAAAGCGACTTTCAAGAGTGACACATGAATACACATACTTATTGTTATTGAAAAGTTCCAATATGCAATGTTGAAAAATATTCAATATTCAAGTGAACACCTGAATAAGGCCCATTATTATATTAAAGTAGTTTGTTTAAATGCATGTTTGTCTGATAGTCTGATTAATACCAAGAATATAACAATATCCGCCATTTTGTAGCTGTGGCCGTCTTGAATTTGCATTTTTTCAAAGTGTACCACTATTCTACCAATCAAGCCCTGTCATTTGATATCCATATTGAGAATTCATTAAATTGTATTGTCATCAAAACTAAATGTGTGTACCAAATATCAGATCAATCTGTCAACAGGAAAGGGGTCAAATTTTACTAAATTTGACCCAAACAAACACGGCAAGCTAATTAAAACCGTTTGAATTAAAATGTATTCATCAGTATTGCTACAGCACTGGTAGCATGACTCGGTTGTTCCTGTAATTTGATGATGAAGTTTTCTTGCTTTTTAAATATCTCATTGAGACATTCCTGAATTTCAACATTCAGTTTGGGAGTATTCAATGCTGCAATATTGCCAACTATAGGGTACTTCTCAATCAATTCACCTCTTTCAGTTTAGTTTTCGCCTTCATGAAAGAGTGTCCATCTATTCATTTGTTTTTTCAAAAACTACAACTCACGATTTGATCTCCACAAACTTTATTTTAAAAATATAATCACAACATGTACACTTGAAAAAGCTACTGTGCTAGCGAAACGTGATTATATTTTTTCAAATAAAGTTTGTGGAGATCAAATCGTGAGGTGTAGTTTTTGAAATTACTATGGATCTTCATCAAATAACGGCCGAACAATATATTCATTTGTTCATGGATTCAGGTCCAACTTTCTGTATATCAGTCAATGGATCGGTTCCAAACAATTCATTTCTAACGGTTATACGAATATTTAGGGTAAATTCGTTTCGTCCAATTGCTGTTGAAGTAACTCATCACTGCTGGACTCGTCTGAATCACAAAACATGTATGCAGCGTGTAAAAGCCAAATGGAATAAATTCATTATTTCGATTACTGTTAGGTCTAAAGTGAGTGGGTCTATTCGACCCTCCACCGCAACCCGCAATTCGGTTACTGTACATATATACAAAAAAATCCCAATACAAGTCAAATGTAAATTATGATTCGACATTCTTCAACGTAAAAATGCCACCCCTACCTTCAACCCCTTCCAAATGACAGGTGTACAACCCCCAAGTTTTTAAATGGGAAGTATAGGCTTGTGATATATTGTTTGAAAGGTCTCTTCATTCTCTATTCAAAAATGTTATCGCTTTCAAGTTTATTGCAACAATTAAGATAAAATAAATTAAATACATGTGGTTACCGAAATTCCATAAAATACACTCAAAACTTATTGTAATATACTCAAAACTTATTTCATGTTGAGGTATTGATAATAAGAAGGTAAGCAAAAACCATATATAGCAATGTTCTTTTCAGATGGTATCCTTTAAAACCTTCGTAATTAATCGTGTCAGCCACATTCAAGAACGACTTCCGACAGATGTGTGGTATTGTGTGTCAGGATAACCCAGCGGATTGTTCTTCAAGAGGTTTACTTCCTTCCCAGCTTGTCAATCACTCGTTATGGTGTGTGGGTTCAGTGTGGCTATCACAATCAGCTGAAGAATTTTGGCCTTCTGCCTCCACTCAACTCTCATCACGTTCTGAGATTATCTCCAAAGAAAAGATGATTTTTCTAATAGTCCAAACCCAAATGAAGATAACTTCCTAAATGCTTTGTTGAAAAATCATTCTTCGTCACCTAAAATTCAATGTGTTCTTTCTTATGTCCTTCCCTTCATTTATAATGCTCGATATCCTCAACGCTCTTTTTCTCATCTCACCTCGATTGAAACCCATCAATCTCTGCTTGAAATATTGAAATATGTTCAATCCCAAGTACCTATTTTCTAAAGATCTTTCAAATTTGGCGAACAACACACTTTTGTGTTAATCATTCCGCAAGCTAAATCTCTTTGTTGATGAAAATGGTCTCTTGAGGGTGGGCGGTCGAATCATTCACTCTGGTGTCATCTACGATAAAAAACACCCAATTCTTCTGCCTAGTCGGCACCGACTCACAGATCTAGAAATTGAATACACTCATAAACTACCTATATCTACATTCTGGTATGCAGACCCTCCACTTTCTCCTTCAAAAATTTTGGATTCTGCCAGCCAAGAGAACAATTCGTCGATATCTCAGTAGGTGCCTCATCTGTTGGCGAACACATCCCACTAGAACACAACCTCCCATGGGTAATCTACCTCCTCTCAAGGTTTCTAAACTTAAAACTTTCTCTTGCGGGGGTTTAGATTATGGAGGTCCATATACGATATCTTTGGGATAAGATATCGAGGGGCTAGAATTCACAAGGCCTATATGTGTTTATTCGTGTGCTTTGCCACTGTGACATTGTGTTTGTAACAAGAATTCTATTCTCTTTAATAAACATATTATCAATCATTCAGTTAGTGTCTAATCTTTCTACCGATACATTTATAGCAGCCCTAAAACGAATTCTCCCGTCGCGGTCGAGTGTCAATGACAATGTGACAATAAGACAAATTTTGTCGGTGCTTTTAGGATCTTCATGGATATCATTAAAGTTGCGACACAGGAAGAGCAAATTGAATGGAAATTTATTCCACCATCAGGTCCGCACTCAGAAGGGTTATGGGAAGCTGGGATTAAATCGGTAAAATCTCACCTTTGTAAAATTCTCGGTAACCTAATACTTATGGGGAGTTCAACACAATAATAATTCAAATAGAAGCTATTTTAAATTCAAGACCACTGTGTCCTACCAGCTCCGATCCCAACGATCTTCTAGCTCTTACTCCAGGCCACTTCTTAACCTTGAAGCCGTTAAATTGTCCTCCTGACAGCTCTGAACCGTTTGTCTCGTTGGCAATTAATTCAAGAGACTCCATCAAGACTTTTGGTCTCGATGGAGTAAAGGGTATCTTCATACTCTATAACAGCGAGGAAAGTGGACAGAACCATCTGTAAATATTGAGCTCGAGTCAATGGTTCAAAAAATGATACCATGCCACCTTTGCGTTGGCAACTAGGACACATTAATCTGTGACTAGGAAGTGCCATTGATGTCCATCCGGGCCCTGACGGTATAGTGCGGGTGGTCACCGTTCGTACTACTCAAGGTACATTTAAGCTTCTAGTGGTAAAGATTTGTCCATTGCCTCTGGATAACTCAGATTAAAATGAAAATGCATTTTGTTGGGCGGTTATGTTCCGTATTCAACGTCTCTTTGTGTATTTGTCTATTGATAATTTTCACCTAATTTGCAAAATTTATATTCAACGTGGAATTCGGCTGTTTCCTATTCTGTTGAAATATATGGACCGCTCTTCATAGCAATATATTTGGTCAGTTGCTGAAACAGCAACAGAACAATTGGGATTTGCTATATAGATTCTGGACAGAAAGCATCTTAAGTTTTTCGAAGACATACTCAATAAATCGAGAAAATTGCTGACCAGCTAGTATTGTGTGATCCATCGGGTTCTTACACTCATCATCCTGGAATCAGGACTCTCTTCAAGCCGCTGCTCAAGCCGACATACACTCAAGTGAGAACATCAGCCATGTAATCTCTCTCGCTCTTTTTTTGTGTGTACAAAATAAAATTCTATTGGGAACTGCATTATATCATTCATTTTTATATTATACTACAGTCCACTTATCTAATGAAGGTATTATGTATAATAAATAAATGACTTGCTTCGATGTAGTCTCGTATTACCATTTCTGTAAAAAACTCTCTGCTCAATTGTTTCTGCTTCAACAGTGGAGTTTAATTTGATGCACACTAATTAACTACTTTTGAGGAAATTGGAAATAATGTCTAGCCTTGTATGTTGATATTCTACTCACCGTTAGAAAAACATATTATAACTCAGAAATACTCAGCTAAGCATAATTATGAAAACAATAGGACGTTTCCGAAGACCAAAGTTTAGACTTGAAATGTCAGAAAGTTTCTGGATGTCGAGTCATTCAACAAACTATCATATGTGGTTAATACTATATAAAGCATCAGGAATGGATGACGTGCGCTTTTCGATTAGGATATTATTGTTGCATTACTCCTATTTATTTTCCCTGATCAGATTTATGCATTGCAAATGAACCTTTTTTCTGTTTGACGAGTTCTGTTTATATATTTTAAAAGTTCTGGTGATGCAATTACCCATTTTTATTATTAAACAGAGTGTAAGGTAGAACGCTCTGGAGTATTTATAAAAGTAAGTATACTTATAAATGACTGTGTTTAAAATAATCAGAACTTTAACGAGAAATGTGATGGAATTGGCCAATACTTACAGCTTCCTGAAGCATGTTCATACTGACTGAATTTTATCCAGTTGGTGCTTTATATAATATAATGATCTGATGACCTTCTACATACTTAATGACCTATAATTTCACCAGGGTAAAGACATAAACTAATTGAAAATTCAAAAATTGTTACAGTAATTCTGGTTAAATATAATAATTTTGCACAGTGCAATTTAATGTTTTCTAAATATACTTGAGGATAACACTGGTTGCATTATGGCCAAAAACAAAGTGTTAGCGACAGTTGGTTAACAACTTTTTTACTAGTCCTCACGATAGAGCTCCTCTAAGGTGTCATTCTATATAATACATGAAAACATACAGCCTCATTTTGATTACTAATCTAGTCTTGTATATCAAAAACAAGTGCATAGTGTAATGCAAAGACTATCTCCTCACAAAAATAGTCAAACCTCTCTACGAAGGGTATGCAAAAATAATAATCTTTTTTCCTGTATAAAGACTTCTATTGGTATAATTAGAATTCAAATCGCATTTCAATAATAAATCTTTACAAGAAATGTTCCTTAGTGGGCAGCGGTTCCAGAAGCTTTAACTCTCTTCGTTTTATCTACCGCTGTTTTCTTTTTTGAACTCTTCTTGGGTGCATCTGGAGTGGATTCAGATTCGGTTAGCCAAAGTTCAATGTGACACGGCGATGACATGTAGGGGTTAATTCTACCATGAGCACGGTACGTCCTACGCCTTAAACAGGCAGCCCTGTTGACCTGAAAAATAAAGTCAATTTGGATATAGAGTACTACCATTTGAGGTTATTGATTCTGAAAATATGATCAGTGATTGCAAATCTAAAGACATTAAATATATCATTAGTGAAAGGTACAAACCAGAACTGCAATGCTTTTCTCAACAACAGTTCAGTTTGTGTTTAATGGACTATCGTCATCATAACCTACTTATTGAGAATTATATTACGAATTATGTATTATTTTCCCCAAGGAAGGAAGAGCTCAAGAGATCTTTTTTGAGTAGAATACTCTAAAAGTCATGAAGGCTGTTTAGTTGTAGTGATGGGATCATTCGAATTAAAAATAATCGGTCATTCGATTATTACAATCACTCAAGATATCTCCAGATGTCAAATGGAATCATACGAATGATTCAGATCATTCGAATGTTGACTGTATCGAATCAAATTACTAGTGAATGAAAGTGTCGAAAACAGTATTAAAGGGCTAATATATAAAAATGATTTGAAATCCCTGAAACTAAAAAAGGAGAATTAAAAATTCAAATTCGACACTGAACTTAACCATTTTCTATTTTGTTGAAATGTTCCCAAACAATAGATTTATTTCTTAGCTCCAGGCAGCATTGTTCAATGTAAAAACAGTAATAATAATGGAATAAAGGTATCAACTACACAATAAGTAAGAGTAGAAAAAATAATGGAATATATGAGTACCTAATAACAGAAATTTCGTTTCAACAGCTTCGTATCCTCCAAACTGAAAAATTATTGCCACTGTTTCAATTTCAATGCTCTCTGTTTGTATTCTTAGTGCGACAAATTCAAACAATCATAACGAATGTCACCATTAATGTGGGCGTTTCACATGGCACATGACCTCATGAGCATCGAGTGATTACGTGCTTACTGCTCGCATCGCCGGATATTGAATTAAATCGGTGAGTGACGAGTGACGTACTATCCGAGGGATTTCATTCAAATGATTTTGATTTTTGGGATCACTCGAGTACTCATCATTCGATTATGCCCATCACTATTTAGTTGTACAGAAAAGGGCTGTCAGACATATCTCCCTTTAAATGGAACATTAGACAGTTGAACTTTGATCAAAAAGTGTAAACTTTCATGACAGGATGTAACTGTGTTGAAGTAATTTTCCAGGTAGTATGCAGTTTTTTTTTTCATGTCTGATATTTCGTCTGCTGACATTATCAAAGGCGGTGAGGTAACAGACGAAGTCTGCGGGTTGTCTTCACAGCAGATACTACATACAAGGTGGAAGCCTACAGCTTCATTTCTATTGGTTGAATCAAATGCCGTCTTATCAATTTAATACCAATAAAAAAAAAACCGGAGACACCAATCTTGATAGTAGTATTTGCTTTGAGAACAACAGCTCCTCAGGTATACAAACCTGCAGACCACGAACAACAAACCCGGAGAATACTTTTTGTGAGCAGTATAGTTACAGGATGCATAATAAATTTTTTTAGGTAGATTGCTTACTAACAGAAACAGAAAAAAAAAATATTCAATTTTGTTTTTTACTAATATCTCGTTTCAATTGAATAGATTTCCGAAAACTGTTAGCTCTTTGTCACTGCAACTTTTGATGAACTGTAAAAATATACTTTGTAGTCATTTTAATTTTATATCTTGATTATTTAATTAGTTTTATTGTATTTTCATTTCAAGTTTTATTGCTCGATATAATTTGATTATTTTAGCTCATTTTATTTTAATTTGTTCTTTCATAGATTTCGAATCATATTGGACAATGAAAGTCTGAACTAATAGAATACGATAAGTTAGTAAGGTTACTACAATAATTTTGTTGTAAAGGTCGTAATAATAAAATTGTGTAATTTTAAGTAACTACAGATTGTCAAATATAGGAAGAGCTTTCTGGGTTCCGATATTGTCCCGCACACTAGATGTGCGACTATAAGAGAGAGAGAAGACAGAATTCTCAAGCCTCTTTCTAGATTTAACAAGCTGTACTTGTCATTCTTTCATTCAACTATTAATAATGTATCTACTTATATTATTTCTATAAATCCAATCTTCAATTCGGCCAGAGTGACCTTTGTCTGGACAAAGCTGTATTAAACGAAAAGTTGAGTAGATGTTCCAAGTTTTCACTTGAATAATCTTATGCTTCTTATTGTGAAAGCAAGGCACATATATTTTCAAGGTCATACACAGAAGAAGATCAAATACCTCTAATTTTTCATGTCATTTTTTTGTGGCAATATTAACGACAAAGTGAATATGGCCATAAATAAGCCTGCAGCGAGATATTTTTAATGCTTTATGATAAGATTTGGTATGCGTCCATTCAATTTCAATCATGTAAACAAATAGTAATGTTTTTTTCAAGTCTCTTCAATTGTAAAGTGCATACATTTCATACTTAGTTTTTTCATGTAATCTAATTTTATTCAGACTTATTCAACAAGATTCTGTATTTGTCCATCCAATTTCAATAATGTAAACAAATAGTAATGTTTATCAAATATTCAATTCAAGTCTTCTTATTCCTAAAAATCATTAATTTCATACTTTTTGTTATTTTATGTTATTAATTTTTATTCATTCATATTGTTTGCATAAATGACTCCACAACAAATGTTGAGTTCACATTCTATCATTTTCATTCAAGATTGTGTAATTTTTTTGGCAGCTGTATTTATAAAAAAGACTACCTATATGAAAAATACAGAGCATTTTTTTCGGTAAATATTCGTTTTGAGGGCACCCGGCGATTTTGAAAAAATTTTGAATTGAAAAGTGTCGATTAAGGAGGAATAAGGTGTAAAAGTGACCTAGTAAATGAATGCTTGTGTTCTTAAATAGTTTATCTTTTGAAAAAGAAGGCTGAAAAGTTGCACTTTCTGAACTTTGAAGGGTCGTAACTTAGTAAATAAGGGAGAGCACCGCTTTTTTCTTCCGGATTCATAGTCTACGCATCAAAATACGTGAGTACACCCAAAAATTTTTTCAAAATCACCTAATGCCCTCAAAACGAAAATTTACCTTTTTTGCTATGGCTTTTTCATCATTCTATGATAAAAAGAGAATATAATGAACTTTCCAAGTTGAATGTCTTCAATCAACATTCTTAGTCATTTTTACCAAATGTAGGGGGGAATATTTAGAATTAAACAGAGAGCACATAGTTCATTAAAAAACTGCACTTTGTTATCCAGGTAGACATGTTTCCACATCACTTAGCATTACATACCTGGATGTGTTCTACTACTAGCCTATCAACATCAAGTCCACTGTAGTCTGCATTACTTTCAGCATTCCTCAACAATTGAAGTAAAAATTCAGCAGATTTCTTGGGCCACCGTCCCTGTGTTGTTCCAAATTGTTTGGCTTGTGCGCAACGGCCCACTCCACCATTGAATCTCCTGAATGGAATACACTCTTTCATCGCTACAACATTCTTCAGATAGGCTACAGCCCTTTTCAGTGGCATTTTCCTAATTGCATTTGCCGTTTCACAGGTATTCTGCAATATTAATGAAGACATGTATCTCACAATTGAGGTTATAACACAGTTTTTGAAATTCATCATTTGGAATAATAAAAATATACAAACCTTGAAATGAACTCTCAAATTTGATCCACGGGCTTTGCACGATTTTCCGGCATTATCGGGTTCACGAGCGTACCGTCCCATTGTTGAATCTGAAATAAGAGTATGACACTAAGTAAAAGTTCAATAACAAAACATCAATATAAAATTGACCCACTACTCTTGTAAGAAAACTATAACACCAAACTGATTTATCAACTTATGAACGATATATTCTCATTCAGATTATAACTAAATGTTGAGTGATGATCATAAATATGAGAGATTTCTTTCATTAGTCTTTACAATACTTACCTTACTTATCGTAAGTTACTTGAGAAAGGAGGTTAAGTTTCTGAATTCACAGAACGAAATAAACTTTCACGTGATGAAAATTGATACTACTAAATGATGATAAGCGCCATCTGTGTCTGAAAAAATCAACAATGTCAGAATAAGGCATGTTCTATGCATAGATATAGAACTTTTACGTATTTATGGTTCCACTGCAAGAGTTTTTTTTTATTTGTCCATGTGAATATTTTATCAGTCATATAACATAAAATATGATTTACTATTGAGTAATTGTAAGTGATTTAATACCTGTAAAAATCTAAACTGTATGTGGAAGTTTGTAAGTTGATTATTTGATTTGTAAAAACTTTTCTAGGTTTTAGTGATTCAATACCTTTTAATATGCTCCCAATCACTCTTTGTCTGATTGTGAGCAATCGCTGCAGATGGTGTTAATATTTTGATGAGTAACTGGTACTTGGACAAATTTCGATTAATTTTACTCGAATATGCTCGGGACCACACATTAGAAACATTTTAATCATACGTTTGATTTTTCACTTGTCAACTTCCGAGGGATGATCATAGGGTAACTGTGAATCAGATGTTTCTATAATTTCTTATTATTTCAATATATTATCGTTACTTGAAGAGTTGAAAAAATTTACGCGACATCACTTCCAATATTCAGTTGAGCGGCTGTTTTTTGACTGTAAGAAACAGCTCAGAACAGAACTACTTGTAATAGTGAATTTTGGATAATCGATATATATTTTTGGTTGACTTTGAAACATTTCTTGACCAATCGCTGCTTTCAACGTGGTCACAATTCAAAGGATTTATGTTGACAGATGCTGTCAGCTGCTGAAGGCCGTATTCTCCGTATAGTACGAAGCCTAGCTTAGACCTTGAGCTCGATTAATTCGTAAATATTATATACATCGTAACAAATATCAGTCGTAAACCCTCTCAAAGTTAAGTTCTCCACTTTGGTGGTTTAGAGTCTTTAAGCTTAGCTTTTATGAACCATACCTAGCTTTCTGTCTGCGGTGAGGGCCGTGAAGGACCATGTTATCAATTGTACCTTCATATAACATACATTTATATACCTACAACATATTTTACTGTCTAACAAAAAATTTCATTTAATTTACTTTTTACTACCGGACCATGCTTGATTCATATTTTGACAACTTCAGCAGACTAAAATTTTGGTGTATGATGTGTTAGATACACTTAATGCAAAAATTAATTCAAAAGTCTACATATTTTTTTTCTCTTCAACCAATTCGATTTCCAGTAATTTTGCGTCTATTTTTTTGCTTTTTCATGGTGAGGACATTTTATGTCTCTAAGTACTAAGTGCATGAAATATCTTGTCTATACCTAAAATCCCGTATATATTTGAATAGAAAAACCCATATTTTTTTCTATTTGAAACGTACAATTTCGACCATTTGATTTTGACTTGAAATTATTCTTCTTTCTGTTTATTGTGCATTGTGAATATAAGTTACTAGAAGAATTTCAGCAATTTCCAGGTGTTCCACATGAACTTAAGAAAGCTTTGCTTGGGTAAATACGGTGCATTACAGCGACAATTTGAGTGATCCTTATTTCTCAGCCGAACTTAGTGAAGCTTGGCCTTGCATAATATGCGGAGAATACGGACATGAATGTTAAATAATCAAACCAATATGATGTTTCGTCTGTATTTCAGATTACGATTTTCATATTTGAAAGTTAGTCTTTATTTTAAGGTCTAACGATTCAATATTCAAATCAAAAATACTCAACGCACAAGAACAAAAAGTATTTGTGTATTTCATAGCATATATTACTTTTTTAATCACAACTTCATTATAGACGATGAGTTCATTGATTTATTCCATTAAGGGTCACTTTCACCAGAACAGAGCTATCGGCTGTTACCTGACTGACAGTTAGGTAAGGGAGGGTACTTTAACGGATAGATTGACAGCATTTCTTTCACCAGCCTATCGGCAGTTAGAGAAGAAGCAGTTAGCTAATTGTGAGGCGTTGCCATTTAAGCGAGAGTTCTTCGTTCCGTGGTCATTAAATCTCTGACTGGCAGTGAAAAAAGCAAAGTGCGCAGTGACAGTTCGAGAATTATGGAGGGAGATGTAAATCTTGGTGAATGTTCTAAACAAAAACGTACGAGAGCCCCAAATTTTACGAAGTCTGAGAAAACCCTTTTCACGGAGCTGCTACATGAGTACTCAAAATTTATTGAAAGCAAGAAAACAGACGCTATGAGTAATGCTGAAAAGACTAGAAAGTGGTCAGAACTACGTGACGAGTTCAATTCGAGGAGTTCCTTACATCATCGTAGTATTCAAAATCTACAAAGTTTCTGGGAGAATTTGAATTGGGATGCTAGATAAGCAGCTGCGCATCAGCGTGCTGAGAATATTAAAATCGGTAAATAATTTTTTTTAATTGCGTTACATTGTATGACTTGTTTATAATTTCATTGTTTTTAGTCTAGGGTCTAGGAGTTCGGTAGTAGATCCCTCGGACATAGATTTGAAAGTATTAGATATTATAAAGATGTCAGGCACAGGAATTAATTGAGACACACTTTGGAGGTGATGCAGAAAGTCTTCTTTCAGTAGTTGAAGTTCATGTAATTGATGACACTAAAATCCCACTAGATACACAAACTGTTGACATGGTGAGTTTAATATTTTGCAATATATAATTTTGTTCAATTGTTCTTTATAATATTTACAGTCCGGGGAGAAAAATAAATGTAATGATGTGGTACCTCATATGCTTTATCAAAGAAAACCAGATGCATTACATGCTAGCCAAGTGGACAATACACCATCAACTTCTAACGAAGAGGCAATTTCAGGTGAACTCCATCAGGTACAAGAAAGAAGTATAGAGACTGAACTGAAGTGGAGTAAAAATTGTGAAAGAAGATATCCTGCTTTGAAAGATGACATCACTCATCAAATGAAAGTTGCGAAGCTAGATTTGATGAAAGCTACGAAGGTACTTTTTGAAGTGGATCAAAAAAAAAGNAAATATTCATTTTCAGGATAACAATATTTTGGATCAATCAGACAAGTTTGCCAAAATCAGACCTCTCTTTACGTATCTGAAAGGAAAGTTTCTAGAAAATGCTTACATTGAACAGGACCATAGCGTTGATGAAGCTATGGTTCCCTATACTGGCAGACATGGCTGTAAACAGTATATCCATGGAAAGCCAATTCGATATGGTTATAAGTTATGGGTCGGAACCACTCGTCGGGGATATATAAATTGGTTCGAGCCCTATCAAGGTGCTGCTACAAATATCAGCAAAATATATAACGAGTTGGGTGTTGGAACTTCAGTGGTACTCGAATATGCTGATACTATACAATCAAAATGGAAAGATTTGAAATTTCATCTATTTTTCGATAATTTTTTCACGTCTATACCTTTGTTAGAGCATCTTACTTTGAAGAAACTATATGGTAGTGGAACAATACGTATATATCTTTATTTGAAATAGGAATTCCTAATATACATACAAATATGCTTAATAGAAAATTCTATAAATTTTCAATTGAAAAAACTAGTTATCTATTCCCATGCAATGTCAAGAGGGTATTGAAATAATTATTAAGGGACGCCTAGAATCCAATTACATTCTGCCCTGGTCTGTTGTTATTATGTATTTGGCCATATTCAATATCAGCGGATTCCAAGGCATGGGAAGTTGAACAGTGTTGTCATCTGGAGGTTAGGCATCACCGGCTCTCCTTAAAATATTGAATAGAACTCAACAGGCTATGATGATTGGTATTGCTCTTTCTGGACATATGTTCACACCAATAGCTAGAACAGGAAATCTTTTCTAGGTTCCGAAAATTCTCTCAATGGGATTACGAGATATTATTTGGGATTCATTATAAAGTATTTTCTTAGGTGTCACTGGTTCAGTCAAGGGAGTCATCATATAATCTTTCGATTGATAGGCTTAATCTCCAAGGAGGACAACAACACCATAATGGTAATCCTCTAATAAATTCAACATCATGGAGGTTTGCACGGTAATCATTTCTTTCCCTCATTACTCGGGGTCTCCTATGTGGCTCATCTCCTAGTCCACTATTACTATCAAATACAAGGTTTTGTAACACATCCATTTTAACAAATGTTGAGTTTTAACTATCTGAAGTTTTTCTTATCCTGTTTCTTACATCTGTTCTGGCATCCGAATGTTTACTATTTTACAATTATGTTAGGTTACGTTTCACACGATAGAACAGGTATACATCTGGCCAGTTAAACTTAAGCAACTGTTACCAACAAGCAACAAGTCTTCAAACGAGTAACATCTCTTTCTTGTGCAAGTGAAACTGTTCGCTTCGTCAAAGCCACGTGGCGCTTTTATATTTTGTTTCGTTAGTTATAGTGTATTGGTGTTAATAAATTCCATCATTGATAAACGTCCTGTGTTAATTAATAAATTCACCTATCACAGTCCCCTAACTGATCGGTAACTCTGTCGTTAACTCAACAAACTGGGTGTGGTGAAAGTAATTTTACGTCTATTTTTTTGCTTTTTCATGATGAGGACATTTTATGTCTCTAAGTGCTGGAATTAAGTATCCAAAACATGAAATATCTTGTCTATACCTGAAATTCCGTATATTTGAATAGAAAAACCCATATTTTTTCTATTTGAAACGTACAATTTCGACCAATTGATTTTGGCTTAAAATTATTCTTCTGTTCATTGTGCTTTGTGAGCATTAGTTACTAGAAGAATTTCAGCAATTTCCAGGTGTTACACATGAACTTAAGAAAGCTTAGCTTGAGTAAATACGGTACATTGCAGCGACAATTTAGGTGGTCCTTATTTCTTAGCCGAGCTTAGTGAAGCTTGGCCTTGCATAATATACGGGCATTAATGTTAAATTGGTAAACCAATATATTTCGTCTGTATTTCAGATTACGATGTTCACATTTGAAAGTTTGTCTTTATTTCAAAGTCTAACAATTCAATATTCAAATCAAAAATACTCAACGCATAGGAAACAAAAAGTATTTGTGTATTTCATAGCATATATTACTTTTTTAATCACAACTTCATTATAGACGAGTTTTCAAATCCTCTGATCGATTTATCCCATTAATTATTCTTTTGGTCCATTCGGAACGTTAGCGCGTTATTATTGGTTGAAACAATCCATTCAGATTTTTTCTGTTGAATTTAGGAACTCACCTCCACTAAGAATATGGAAGTCTGGCAATATTTATCATATATAAATAACATACTGATTCCATTTATTATAGAATCGAAAGTGGGTTGAACAATCAAATCACCTTATTACTTGCATCAACCTTTACAAGTATGTTCTAACCATTCAGAACGGAGCAGTACTCTAAAATTTCTCAAAGGTCTTTTCTTGCTAAATTCTTAGTATTCTATGCTTAAGTACCGCCACTTACGTCATATGACGTCATTGTTGATAAAAATTAATAATATTTTTACGTCATTATTGTGTGGTTGTGGTTTAAGTGTCATTCATTTTTCATTTGCCATTGTTATAAGTTTTGATTTTCAATAAATGATTTTGTAGTCTTGAGTGAAACTGAGGTTTTTATATGAATATTAAATGTGCACCTCCCTGACTAATAGACCATGATTAACAGACCATGAATAAAATAAACAACAATTATGAAGATATTCGCTGGTATCATGGAAAACTATCACGGGAGGAAACAGAAAGGGTTTTGCTACAAGGTATGCCACAACAATAGAGATGTCAGCATATATGGAATTCCTTAAATATTTTTCAGATGGAAGGAAGAATGGATTGTTTTTAGTAAGAGAAAGCAACTCCTCTACAGGAGATTATGTTTTATCAGTGCTTCATAATGACCAAGTCAGTCACTTCCAAATTAGAAGGCATGCTGAGGATGCATTTTTTTCAATAGGTAACTTATTTGTTGTGGAGAACTAAAGTTTCTTCATTTACATATTTTTGTAGATGAATGCCTGAAATTTCATGGTCTAGAAGTGTTGATAGAACACTACACTGTTACACCAAATGCTTTACCAGAAAACTTGGTCCTTACTGAGTATGTGGTGAAGTATCCTCCACCACATGATTCGAGAAGACACGGAAGAACAAACTTACTGCATCGAGCCACTGACCAGGGAAATTATACTGTCGTTTCTGAATTATTGAAAACTGACTATCCACATGATGCCAAAAACCAGGAAGGACAAACAGCTGCCCATCTAGCAAGTATGACTGGAAAAAATGATATTTTAAGGAAACTCATTGAATCAGATGCCAGTGTTAATCTAAGAGATTCTGCAGGGTTCACACCTTTGCATGTAAGTCAGTAGTTACTTTTTACTGTTTTTTTAAATAAAAGTTTGAATTTTAGTATGCATGCCAAAATAACTTTCCCTCTACTGTGAGACTTCTAGTTCAGTTAGGTGGTGCCAATATCCAAGCAAGAAATACTGAAACAGGTACCGTACCTTTACATGAAGCTGCAAATCGAGGGCATAAAGAGGTTGTTAAAGAACTGTTGAGTTTAAATGCCCCTATCAGGAAAAATACA